AAAAAATTCTACCTAAAATACAGTTGTACTTTTTAAATAACAAATAAATACACTGTCTGCTTGGAGAGACCTGGGGATTTGATATTCTATACTGACTTTATCATTTTTCTACAAATGCCGCTGCCGCCATTGGTGTCCTTATGCTTCCTCTTGCTGAAGCCGTCAACTCTTCAATCTCAGCATTTAATTTATGTATTACCCATTCCATTGCTTCTCGGCCCTTAAAAAAAATCCAATACATTTAGTGTTACTGAGTGATAGCAAAGGTATGTACAACAGGAAGTAACAAGGAGTGTTAAAAGCATAACTAAGCTCCAAAAGGACAGATTGTTTTTGTTCTTGCTTTCTTTTTTCAAATATTATTTACCAAATATCAAATGCCTTGAGCAACTGACTTGACCCATAAACTGATTTTTATTTTGTATGCAAAAGATGTTCTCAAAAGAATCTACAATTAAATGACAGCATGTTTTATGCATTTCATAATCAGTGTGGTCAAACCCTTTTTCATGTCTAAATTTTAGATTAAAGTCTTATACCAGACCCTGAAGGATCTGGTCCTTAACTCCGTCCTCACCCCTTCCTGCCTGGTGCTCTACAAAATTCCTTAAAGAATGGAAGGAGGAGCATGTCATGATTCCTTTGTCAGGGCCTATGCACACACACTTCCTCCACCCCAATGCTCTTCCCGGCTTATCCCACAATCCACCTCCATTCAGCGCTTGGCAGAAACATCCATCACTACACACTCTCCTGCCTGTCCTTATTCTCCCTTTCCTAAATGTGTGTTGTGAGATTCACACTGCCTTCTGCTTAACTTAGGGAGGGCAGGGACCACATTTGCTTTGCTCCCTGCTGTTATCCCCAGTCCAGCCTAGTATTCCACCTGGCACAGAGAAAGTCTCTTGAGTACCTCTGACTGCTGCATGACTATATTAAACATGTGTTAAAGAACAGTGCATTATCAACTCTTTCCCAAAATTTACTTTTTTTTTTTTAACAATGCACTCTCAATGAGAGCGATTCTTGATGGGGCAAAACTTGGTTCTTGAAGGTGATGGAAAAAACTGAACTCTTTTATATCTAAAACACATATAATATGTATGTAGGGTTAACTATATCTCATGGATTAGAAGGAAAACATCAAAGACTGATGAAGGGGATGATAATAAAGAACAGTTGTGGGACAGCAGTTAAACTGCACACAGCTACACATCATTAAGCATTTCTATGTGCTGGGCCTTAGGCCACACATGCTCCATATGTTATTTCATGCCAACCCTGTAAGATGGGCAATCTCCACTTCCCAGATAGGAAACTGAGGCACAGAAAAGTTCACTTGATTGCTCAAGGTTGAAAGGTTGGATAGAACCTGCCATGTAAACCCAGGCACACTAGACTCCAGAAGCCTGACTGTCTGGCTTCTGACTGCAAAGTGGCTGAGTCAGCTTACAAGGACAAATAAATTCAGCTTAAGGTCTTCTAGAAATGAACCCAGGGACATCAAGCATTGAGTAGCAGTCTACTTACTTTACTAGCATTAGACGATATTGTGGTCGCCATCAGTCCTTCCAGGTAACTGCTAAGGCTGACTCCCTGCACAGAGATGATGGCTTCCTGAGTCAAAATAGTCCTGCCACAAAACACACGCACAGTGTGAGATGACCCAACTTGCCCTCTTTAAAAAGATTTAGTAAATTAAAAAACAAAGAAAGAAAGAAACAAACCCAAACTCCTTGTAAAGTATGTTGGTCAAAAATATTTTTACTTACTTTTCTGGGTCTTGAGGATGTGGTTTGTAGATAAGTCTCTCATCCACCGAAACCATATTTGTAAAGGAAATCTATAGAACAAGGGGATAAAAAGCAAATCATGGGGCTGGGGTTGTAGTTCAGTGGTAGAACGCTTGCCTAGCATGTGAGGGACACCAGTACCTTGATTCTCAGCACCACATATAAATAAATAAGTAAAATAAAGGTTCATCAACAATTTTAAAAAATACTTAATAAAAAAAAGTAAATCATTTTGGAAACAAAGATTAAAAATATTTCCAAAATCAAAGCACAAACCAAAATCTTACTAGCTAAATATACAAAACAACAAAAAGCCAAACACAAATAAACTTTGATATTTTTCTATAAATACAACTTAAATTTCACTGTTTGCTGTCTACTTTTTATTTTTTAAAATTAAGAAAAGTATAATAATAATATGCACATGATCCTGCATTCACTTTATTGAATGGTAACTCCTAAAAAGAGGTGGGACCATTAGAGCAACAAGGCTGCAAAGCTGAGCAGTGCTGACCTCAGCTCCCAAGTACTGACTTTCTGCACACATCCATCTGGTATCAACTATACAACAAAAAATTAAGCCAAACAGTTCAAAATTAAAACAAAAGAGAGCCAAGACTTACATTAGTCGATTTAAGTTCCATTGTTTTCTCTACAGGATCAACTACAGAATGTTCTTGCACATATGTTTTGGTTCTTGCTGAACCAATAAGCTAAGAAAAACATTCAGAATTAGTAATCAGAGGAAGAAGGATTTCTTACTGAGTGTATCAATATTTTATTTGATTGTATAAATGTGTTACAATAGCTTAACCCAAAATCTGTTTTGAAAAAACAGGAGGTAACAAAGGTCAGAAAGAAGATCTGTTGGAGGGCAACAATAACTCACACATTACAGATGAGACAAGACTGCTATACCCCAAAACCTTTCCTAAAGGCAGCCAGGAACCAGCCTAAGAGAGTGCATGCAATCTAAGGCATGCCACCAAAACCGCCAAGGTGCGCAAACAAAATACAGAAATTAGAAGATTTGGGGCAACGCAGCATCTAGAAGAGGGAGAGCCCCAGAACCTGTCAGTATCTCCTGAAGTGTTCCATGGGAAAGGCCCTACAGCTTCATGCTCCAGATACAAAACAACCATCTTGCTGTGGAAGATCCCAGCAGCACCAGGGCTACTTCCTGCGCTTGACCCCCCAGGCCTGCTTCCTGTTCTTGTTCACTTCTGTGTCCCTGTCACCTAATGCTGTGGTTTGTATATAGGGGATGAGTATATTCCTGATGAAAAATGTATACTTAAGATTTCTGAGTAGACCTGCCTTCTGTGAAGACAGACCCTCTACAGAAAACCGGCTCCACATCAGTGTTCTCACACTGTGATAAAATGGCATTCTAGTTTCTTGCTGCTTAAAGTGCATCACTAAAGCTACTCTTTTGTAACTGACTAGAACTGTTTCCACTGTACAGGAAGGAGTACCAGGCTATGGCACAAATATGACAATGCTAAGACCTAGAACACTCTTCTTAATGTGCACAACCTATTATCAACCACAGCAACTGTCACCTAACAGTCATGACTGGACCATTACATCTACATTTTATTGGTCTCAAGTTGCTGGTAAAAGCAGAAAGAACAGAATAAACTCCTTTTAGGTTATACAGCATCAGCTGGTTCCCTTCAGAAGGTTCTATCGGGCGCCTTCATGAAGACTGTAATAATATTTCCAATTCATTATACACTCATAACTCAAGTTTATTATAATACAATTTGAACTGATGCAAAAATGATATTCAGAATGTGCTCCCACAACCTATTTGAAATTATAATGTGTTTTAGGAAACTTCTGCACTGCAGGCACACTTCTCGGGGATAGGGCACACTTACAGACTTCACGATGGAAGGCAGTCCCCACTCTGTGCTAAGAAGTCTGTGGCTGTGCAGCTTTCCAGAGGGATCTATATGCCTGTCCAGCACATCAACTCCAACCACACTTGGGTTCATAGGGTTTGGGTATTTCTGCATTGCAGCTGTTGTAACAGTTTCCCATGGGTGGCTGCCAACACAAATCCAAAATCAAACGTTTAAAAATATGCATGATAATTAAACAATTTTTATAACTTATCAAATCACTCTTTATATTGGAAACCTAATTAGTTTACCTAGGGACAATTATTTTCTGAACACTGACTGAATGATGATTTTGGGAGCTTGATCTACATTTTTAATGTGAACAGAATTTGGTATTTTTCTAAAACACAGGCTATATAAATGTAATTGATGTCTATAAATATCAAATTATTTCTACAGAGAATTAAAGTGTAGTTTCTTATCTTTCCTATTTACAATTATCCACTTTCACATGTAAATTGTTTCTAGGAAGAACCACTAATTCATAAAAAATGTATTTAAAAATTATGTTCTGAAACAAGTAGCAAAACCAGCCCCTTCCCACCCTTTTGTGGTACTGAGGATTGAACCCAGGAGTGTTCTACCACTGAGCTCCATCCCCAGCCCTTATAATTTTTTATTTTGAAACAGGGTCYTACAAAGTGGCCCAGGTTGGCTTTGAATTTGCAATTGTGCTGCCTAAGCCTCCTGAGGAGCTGGGGATTACAGGTGTGCACTACTAACATGCATGGCTAAAACTACTCATTAAACCATTTATTCTTTTGTTTGACCACAATCCCATGAAGTTATAAGAGTAAAAGAACTTATAGGCACTGTAAATTCTTATAGGAATTACAGAAGATCCAAAACTTTATTGATTTAATTATGAAAAATTTCTCTACGTTAATATAAAACAGTGTCCCCTCCAGTCAATATCCATTATTTTCCTCAAAGAAGTGATTCTGATTTCTGTTTTGAAAAGGTCACCCAATACTATAAAATGTTCTTCTGGCCCCCAATATGCTATTTTCTAATAATCTCTCTTAACATAATAGGCAGTTCTTATCATCTAGGACCGAAGTAGTTAACAATACCATGTCATCTGAGAACGTGCAGAGTCTTTATTTTCTTGAAAAGGCACAGGTGCTTCAGTGACTCAAAATGTGATATATATTAGCTCTTTACAAACTTCTGTGAATTAGCTACTCTAGATGTCCCTCTTACAAAAAGCCTGTGTCAACTACCATTAGTACGGAAGGTGGTCTGGACCACCTGCTTGACTGATGCCAATCCCAATCTATCTGTGCTTTTGTCTTAATTTGAAGGAAAAAGACAAGATCTGGAGATGATGTTTCAAGTCATACTTCACTGATATAAATCACCCAGCATTAYTTCTTATTTTTCTAAAAGTAAAACAGGTAAAAAATTCATTTCAGAGACCTCAAGGCTGAAAACTACATCTTGTTCACAGACAGGAAACCTCAACTCCATTGATTTCTCAGAACCCTGAACAATCAGTGACATGCTTTTTAATGTTTTCATTTTCTCTATAATATTGCATAAATTAAGCTCATTCTGTTTTTAATCTCAAGCCTTATTCAGTAATCAATGCAGATATGTAAGTGGAACAGCTTCATAAATCTAAACAGGACCCAGAAATGGAAGTGATATAGGCCAAGCACTCTGATTATCACCAAGGCAACTATCTAAAATGAAAATCAGATGAACACTTTCCCTGTCCATCTAGTCATATACCATGGTGAGTTGGCTTCCATGTGCTTATCTCTTCCTCCCACCCTCTCTAAAAAATTAATAACTCCATGGCTTCAGGGTGGTAATGCATTATTTGTAATTTTGCCCATCTCTGTGCCCTTAGCCAACTTGAAAACATCGATGTTGACATAGCTCAAACTAAGATTGCTTTATGAAACAAAGTTACTCAAACTTTATAAAGGTTGCATATTACAATCTTCCAACAATTGTTTTTAACTGTATTAACATAATTATGTGAAAAAGATCTATAATACCAAAAGACATTAAAATATAGCACCAAAATGGAGTCAAGGGAACCTAGTGGTGGCTTAGAGTCCTATTCCATTTCTTCACCTATAAAATGAGGTGGGTGTGGTAGAGCATACCTGTAATCTTAGTGATTAGGAGACTAAGGAATACACAAGTTTGAGGCCAGCCCTAGCAATTTAGTGTGGTTCTAAGCAATTTAGAAAATAAGATAGAAAAAATATATGATATATGAAACAAACAAAAAAAAATAGAAAAGGTTGGGAATGTGGATCACTGGTTAAGCACCCCTGGGTTCAATTCCCTATACCAAAAAATAAAAATAAAAATAAAAAAAGGTGGGGACATTGTTAACTCCATTGGGGCAACAGTATTTTGATCTATTTACAATGTAACCAGTCCAAAGAGCAGTGCCTAGCACATACTAGGCATTCTTCCATGTTGAAGTCATCAACTGAACATCAACCATAAGCTAGACCTCAAGAGGAAGTGCTGGAAAATCAAGGATGGGTAAGGCATAGAATGAGAACCTGGGTGTGGGTGTGACAGCAACATCCTGAAATTGGGACACATGAAAATGGTAAGATTTGTGAGAGGAAATTTTGATTTGGACTTCAGGAATGTTGAGTCTGAAGAGGTGCTGGACAGTAGGCAGTGGCAGACACCTGAAAATAACAATGGGAAGTTCCTGAGAGGCTGGAGATCAAGGTACAGATCTGGTCGCCATGAACGTGTATCATCTGGCACCTTGACTGAGCAGCTCAGACTATTTGGAGAAGAGGCAGAGCAGAGCTGCTTGCTGCTCCTCCTCCTGGAACATGGAGAGGATTTATTTGAGTATGCCTATCTTCTAGAAGGTAGGTCCCAGAACTTTCATCGAATCTTTAAGAGGTCTGCGACAAAAAGAGAGAGAGTACAATCTTACTGATGAAATGGAAGACAGGCAGGCCAACAATTGAATCTCACTCAACATTTACATGAATAGGGAAAAAGTGAGGAAGATGTTGAGAAAGAGGACAGGAGTGAAGATAGATTGGAACTGGGACAAGGTGAGGAGAAGTTTAGGGAGGACCAGGGAGAAGGAGTTCTGAAAGCCAGACTCAGTACCAAGCACTTCTGAAGCATTCCAACTTGGGCAAGCACCCTGAGGCTGAGTGGACTAGAGGACATGGCCAGGTTCAAGAATACTATAAAGACTACAATATACATAGAATTTGGAGGGAAATGGATGGCATTAGAGCAGATTATGCTAAGTGAAGCTAGTCAATCTTTAAAAAACAAATACCAAATGACTCCTTTGATATAAGGGGAGTAAACAAGGACAGGGTAGGGACGAAGAGCTTGAGAAGAAGATTTACATTAAACAGGGATGAGAGGTGGGAGGGAAAGGGAGGGAGAAGGGAAATCGCATGGAAATGGAAGGCGATCCTCAGGGTTATACAAAATGACATATAAGAGGAAAGGAGGGGTAAGACAAGATAATACAAATGGAAGAAATGATTTACAGTAGAAGGGGTAGTGAGAGAAGAGGGGAGGGGAGGGGAGGGGGGATAGTAGAGAATAGGACAGACAGCAGAATACATCAGACACGAGAAAGGCAATATGTCAATCAATGGAAGGGTAACTGATGTGATACAGCAATCCTTATACGGGGTAAAATTGGGAGTTCATAACCCACTTGAATCAAACTGTGAAATATGATGTATTAAGAACTATGTAATGTTTTGAACGACCAACAATAAAAAAAAAATAAATAAAAAAAATATAAAATACTGATGTTGAGACACACACACAAAAAATAAATAAATAAAATAAAAAATAAAATACTGATGTTGAGACACACACACACAAAATAAATAAATAAAATTAAAAAAAATAAAAATAAAATACTGATGTTGAGACACACACACACACACACACACACACACAAAAGACTACAATATAAAGACCGTGGTCTGTCTTTCCTCCTCACACAAGTGGGTTTTAAACTTCAGGGAGAAAAGAAAGCTTCCGTCTGGTTCTAACATTCTGTTCTTCCTGCATAAACAGGAGCTCCGAGGGGCCTGATTCACTGTGTAAAAGTGTTGACTTCTTTTAAAATTGCCCTCAGAAACACTCACAGACTCGAATGTCTAAATCAGACAACACTACAAAGTTACAATAATGAAAACGGTGTGGCAATAGCAGCAAGATGAGCGGAAGAGAGCGGACAGCCTATAAATCACCACAATGTCCAAGGCAAGGTGGCATTTCACACCTGCGCGAGGGGCAGATCAGTCAACAGAGCCCTGGAATAATGCCCTGACCACTAATTTAGGAAAACAGCGCATGGCTGCTTATGCCGGTGGTTCTTCGGTGTGGGGCGTGCAGAGGTGACTGCAGGCCTCACCTGGCGCTATTGTAAGGCCTCTCCGCTGCTGCAAGTTCAGGACAAGCACAGCGGGTCTGAAGGCGCTCGGGGTCTGGCTATTGCCAGCCGGGGAGACCACAGAGGGGCCACATCTCCCACTTCCGCCTCAGAGCGCTAGGCCGTGCGCCCAGGGCCTGGCACACCGGTGCCTAGTCACCCGACGACACGTTGTGGCCAGCGCGCCGGCGGCGCAGGCCCTTGAGCCCCAGACGGCCGAGACGGCGCGGCGGGGCGGGGCCTGGGGGCTGGGGTCGTGACCTTGCCCAGCCCGCGGGCACAGCTCGTCGCTCCCCGGGGGCCTCCGCGCCCGCCCGAACTTACTCGAAGACGTGCTCCGAGGTCCAGATCTTCATGGTGCCGGCGGCCTGAGTCCTGTCCGGGAGACTCTAGGGGACAATGAGGCCACACTACCCAGCCCCACCCGCACCCGGCGGCCGCGCAGCGCGCAGGCGCCGTCGGGCCCGGCGCGAGGACGTCCCGACGCGCGGCCCCGCGCCCTATCCAGGCCGGGCCAAGCCTCAGCGCCGCGCAGCGCAACCGGGCTCCGCCCCCTGAGGGCGCTGCGTGCCGGCGCAACCGGGCCCCGCCCCCTGGGGGGTGCGTGGCGCAGGCGCAAAGCTGGCGGCGAGAGCTCGGCAGTGGCTGTGCTACGCAGGCGCGGTTCGTCGCGGCGACCTCGTCCTCTCTTCTTGGCATGCCCACCGAAGCCCTGTAGCCAATCTGCAGTCCTCCACGGTGCGGGTACTACCTGCCCGCGGTGGGGATGACACGCGTGGACGTCGGGTGGTGTCATTGCGCTCCTCCACCTGCATCAGCAAGCCCGCCCACAGGCAGACTCTTGTCACCCTGAGGTCATCCTGTTTGACTCCCATTGGGAGGGAGCCTTTGAATGCTTCTCTTGCTGGGTGATGAGTCTCGGTGCCTTCCGAGGAAGGGCTCATTGATCATTGGAAAGGGAGATAATTGCTTTTGGGATGAATTAACGAAATCGTCTAGTGTATCAGTTTGACTTCCATGAGGCTCTTGGCAGACTTGTGCAAGGGTTCTTTGTACATACTTAACTAGTCATTTGTCGCTTAAAGCAATGACTAAGAAGTGAAGGGCCTGAGGGGGTGGCTTATGGTTGCGTTCAAGGTGAGCCTTGCCCTGGGGAGGAACTTTCTGGCTTACTTTTCAGGAGGAATCTTCCCAGCCCTGAGACCCCCACTGACCACATACAACCTTGTATCTTCCAAAAGGACAACTTACTATTTGAAATGATGATTGTTGAGGGCAACCTTTACACCTGTTGTTTTTTTTTTTTAAAGCTAGGCTAAAGTACTGCCATGTTCTTGTTCCTGGCTTGCTTGATTGTTAAAAACAAAAGGTTAATTTAAGAAGGTGGATAATTAAAAAATATATATATATATAAAACAACAGAAATATATATATATAAAACAGAAAAATATAAATATATATATAAAACAACAGAAACATATAATATAAAAAACAACAGAAACGTTACATTAGACAGGAAGGAAATAATATGGTTGGGTAGTTGCTAAGTGCAATTTGTGGTACCTAGGATTAAAAAGCCCCAAATCCTACAGTACTGAGAGTGATTTTCTTGGGAAGTTAATGTGTTAAGGACTGTGGAGAGTGCCTTAGCCTTGATTAAGATGCGAAGTTAAAGTCACTGGGAGTTAAAAACACTGGTTCAGTAACCATCAGCACAGAACAGCCTGTCCCTGCTATTCATGAAGCTCCATGAGGCTGTTTGCCATCCAGCATCCCAATTTTATTTATTTTAGAGAATGTTATTCTGCACCCCCCGCTTCAAGATTTGTTTTTGAGTCATGAAAGTTAAGTGACACCTGTTCTATCCCTCCCATACACACATTTTATCAGTCCATTGATTTTACTTACTACATCTGAAGTGATGGGGATGAAGGTGTGGCAGGATGGAGGTCTGGGACCCAAATGTCTTTTCTTTCTGTGGTGGAAATGATACCATTTCTTACATTGGAGAGCAAAATTTTATTGGTACTATCTCCTGGAGACTCACCTAAGAGACACACAAGAAGCACATGAATGGTTTTTAGATCTTTAACACTATGTTACTGACAATGCCTCTCACAGAAAGAAGTCATTAGCAGGTCATTAACCTGATTTGGAACTGCATAACTGGTTTTTTGGCCCTGTCCCAGGAATGACACCTATCCCCACTCCCTTCCGGTTGTGATCCTGAGAGGAAGAATGTAGATGTGACTGCTACCTGCAAGAAGCTTCACAATTGACAAGAAGCTGAACTATGAGTCAAGAAGTAATTGATACCTGAAGGGAGGGCTGTGCCGAGGGCAGAGATCCAGTGTTGTGCAGCCTCAGTCCTTAAAGAAGAGGAGGAGGGGCATTTTCCTGGACCTCAGAGGAGGAGATGGTTGTGGGTTTGGGATCAGGAAGTGGTAAGAGAAGAGGCACATGGAAGCACCAATGTTAGTGGCTCCTGTGTTAGCAGATAGCAGAGGCAGGCCTAGTGGGGAAGCTGGCAGTCATGGTTCTAACTAGCTCCTTTTATCTCCAAAGTTCATTCACTCACTTTGCATTTTCACGATTTTTGCACTATCTTTAGGCCACCCATTCCATTATTGGAACTTTTTAAATACCAGTGTCATATACAGAAAACTACCCTCATCCATGATTGTGCTTTCCACAGTTTCAGTTAAACATGGTCAGCTGTGATCTGAAAATATTAAACTGAAAATTCCAGAGGTTCATAATTTATAGGATTGAAATTGTGTGCTGTTCTGAGTAGTGTGATGAAATCTCATGCCACCTTCTGTTCTGCCTTGGATACAAATCATCCCTTTGTCCATTGTATCCATACTTTAATTACAAATAATTTTTTCAGTTGTCAGATCAGATCAACTGTCAGCCATTGCTGGTGCTGGTATAGAGGGTTGGGCACTATCCATAGTTTCAGGGATTGACTGGGATTTCTTAGAACATATCCCCAGAGGATAAGGAGGGGTCTAGTCTAAAAGGAACTGTTTTGGTCTTTGCCCTTGGTCCTGTCACAGAGCTTCTAAAACCTGAGAAACTTCCTGATAGAGATGTCTTTTGTTACAATGAGTCCTTTAGGTAATTCCTAAGCTGATACTAGTGAGGTGACTTAAGTGGAGGGCCAGCTAGCCTAAGGATGGGGGTCAGACACCAGAAAAGCTAAGCAATTAGAGAGTTGGAATTTTAACCCTGTTCATCTGCCTCCAAGCCAGGCTGTGTAGAGCTGGAGATTAAGCTCTCAACTCGGGAGTTTGATAGGCTTCTAGGTTGGTGAACACAGTTGCATGCCAGGAGGGTGAGGTCCTGTGCTCTTGGCCCTTCTGGACTCTGTCCAATGTATCTCTCCCTCTGGGTGTATGGTTTCCTCTATGATAAACTTATGTTTCTCTGATTTCTGTGAGGCATCCTAACAAGTCACCAAAACCAAGGGGGTTTGGTGGGAATCCCAGTTTAGAGCTGGCCTCTGGAGTGAGGGCAGTCTCCAGAGATTGAGCCTGAAGCCTTGGGGATCTGACCTCATCTCCAGGTAGGCTGTCAGCACCGAAAGGTCTTCTGCAGGATTTCCTCCCCCTCACTCCCACACCTGGTGTCAGTGGAGAGAATCCATAGGAGCAAACATTGATTTGTCATAGCTTCATGAATTTGCTGTAAATGAAACTTTATGTAACTACTGTGCTGTCAATAGAATACCAGTTTCCCCTCTGATATATGTGAAGTACGTAACTCTTAAAATAAAAATAAAACCCTATGAGCTCCTGGGTGTATTTTCATGTACTTCATTAGAGGGTGGGGGTCTCACTTTGGGGCTGACTTGCACACTTCTGAAATGCTCTTTTGACTTTTATCCATTCTCTTCAAACTTCAAACCACCTTTTCCTCTGAGGCTCTCACAACGACCTTCATCTCTGTATTCCTGTGATCTCCTTCAACTTCCCTCCCTTCCTCTTTGAAATGACTGGATTCCCCTTGGTCCTGCTTCTCTTCTTAACTCACTTTTGGCTTTTGCTCCCTTCATTAATTTGTTGCACAGATAGCCACTGGTCATCCACTCCAGGCTGTGTCTGTGGTTACAGAGCTGACTGCACCAGCTGTCCTTGTCTGGGGGGATTTCCCCAGGGGGTGCTGGGCAGCACCTGGAGACAGGACAGATTTTCACTCCTTGTCAGGATGGTGCTGTGGTGTCTAGGGGACAGAGGCCAGGAAGGCTGCTTGGCATCCTACAAGGCCTAGGATAGCGACAGTACCCCTCAGCAATGAAGAATATAGCTTTCAAAGTCAATAGTGTCATGGTGTAGGAACCCTAGAGTATGGCTAAGAGTAATCTGCCAGCCTACCTGTCTGGCTTCTGTTTCCTCCTCTATTTCCAAATTCATCGAACCCTACAGCTACATCATTATCTTCTGTCTTCACTACATACTTCCACATCCTTGAACTTTGAACATGGAATTTTCCATGCCAGAATGTGCTTTTCCTGTATTTTCCCTGAAGAGCCTTACTCACATTTTAAGGTTCTGTACAAATGCTCCAGTCCCCGTGTCTCTGTGGGATGTCTTTCCCAGAGCTCTGCCCAAAGCATGGTCCTGCTGCGACGAGACCGTTGCATTTTAAACAGCCCTTATGATGCCATGGCCCAGGGCAGGTGTGTGTCTATGTCTGCACCTGTGATCTGAAGTGAGAAGGAAGGACGCTGTTAGGGAGTCAAGAGTCCTCCTTTACTGTTCTTCAGACTTTGAGTCCTTGTTGTCATTATGTGGCCCCCAGGGAAGTAAGAGCACAGATCCTCATCTGTCAAACCCAGGTGCTTGCTGGTGTCTCACACTGGTTGTCCGAGACTAGATGTTCATCTGTAAAACCAAAACTCTTGGAAAAGATGCAGAATTTCATCACATTGATGAGAGCGATGTTCAAGAACTTCTCCAGAGTTCACCAAACTAGCAGCAGAAGACTTTGAATAGAATTCAGGCAGTTGGCACTTGAAAAAGAAAATCAACAAGGGATGACCCCGAAAGAAAAAGCAGATCAGACAGCAATGATTTGAAGAACTGGGCTTGGAAGAGACCCTAGAGAAAACAAATCAAGTCCTTGAATATTTCTGCAGAAATGGCCACCACTGTAATTGGGCTGTGAAAATCAAATGTATTATGTAGTGTTACTTCTCCGTTTGTGGGCAAAGTATGCCAGAACTAGTGCTTCATTCATTCTATGTAGTGAGAATTAGCATGGAGTTACCAGTTTAATCTGTGTTGTACGTGTGTGTGTGTGTGTGTGTGTGTGTGTGTGTGTGTGTATACACACACATATATATACATATATATCGTAATTTATGCACATATGTATCACTTTATATGTGCACATGTGTATATGTGTATATAAATTTATTATCATCACTTTGTATCTCATTCTTCAGGATAAAGTCTCAACTTTTTGTCATTATTATTAACTATGAAA